AGAAATAATAAACAGTTCACAATAAAAACCTGTAACCAATTTGCAACTGATAACATGTACCAATCACCAAGTTTGGTTCTGTTTATTTTAAAATAAAGAAATATGGCCGTCGATAGAATCTCTAAAAATTAAATAACTTATCTAAATAAATGTAATTTTCATTTATCGGCATCACACTTCCTACTTTTATTATAAATATAGCTTTTTACAACACACTTTGTCATTTTAAACGTTAATCTCCAAAATTTTAGTCACTAAATCACCAAATTAATTCTAGTTGACACAATAGATTTGAATTAAATTTGGACGAATAATGCTCTGACATTTGCGATTAAAAATGCTACAGGATACAATCTTTTTTTTGTGAATACTACAATAAAAACATTTCTACATTATCCATAAACACATGTCGGCTATTTAAGTTTTCTCTAATTTTATTATAACTGCATTTAATATTAGTTCATTAATTTTAGTAGTGAAATGAACTATTCTATACAATATATCACGTCTATATACCAAAAAACTTTTAAAGGTAGTGGGACATCGAAATAAACATTTTGTTGCTTAATAAATATATCCGAAATTACTAGTGAAAGCAACAAACTTTCATAAATCGTGATTTTAATATTTTTTAAACTTCAGTGCAGTTGATCCATAAACGTAGACCATAAAATATTTTTTATGGCAACCAGATATCGACTTTAGCGTACGAAACGTCTGTGCATAGTAATAATCTTAAAAAATTCAAGCCTCCCCCAAAAAAAAAGATTTACGGCACGGCAGCTAGCTCAAAATTCTACACGCACAAACCAAAAGACATAATGATACATTTATACAAACCATCTGTGCGAGCATAGTGGCGTCATCGATGATTATTTTAAGTAGAAATGTGGATCGTGCGATATATCATTGGAAATGTCATTTTATTATCTATCCTGTGGTATTAATAACGCATTAAATAATATGGATAAAATTGTCATCACTGTTGTATATGCTTCAGTTGATCCGAATGAATTTATCGTCAATGTTGCGAAACTTATAATAATCCAAACAGATGTTGAATATCACTTTACGTAAGTGGAATAATGACAAAACAGTAAAAAACAACTAAAAACATTTTTGTCACTATTTGTTTAAAGTTTGAGTTACAGGCTTATAAACTTGGGTTTCAAATTTTAAAAGGAGGATAACAGAAAGGCCCTTTGGGAAAGAAGTTCTGTCGTGCATAAGAGAATTAAATTTCTAAGAAAATATTCTAAATTTAAAGAAAAAGGGGCGAATTTTATATATTTAGACGAAACATGGATATTTTCTAGGGGTGCAACCAAGAGAATATGGCAAGATGATAACGTAAAGTCCATCAAACATACCGATGGAGAAGGGAAGCGACACACAATTTTACATGCAGGAAGGAAATCGGGTTTTATAGAAGTTGCTGATTTAATATTTTCATCTAAATCAAAATCCAGTGACTATCACGATAATATGAACACAGAAATGTTTGTAAAATGGTTGCATGAAAAACTTCTCCCAGGTTTAAGTGAGCCCAGCGTAATTATTTTAGACAATGCACCTTACCATTCTGAAGTATTAAACAAAAGTCCAACGAATTCTTGGACTGTTGATAAAATTAAAGAATGGTTGACAAAGGAACATATACCATTTCCTCAATATATATAAAAATCAGAATTATTACGCTTGGCAAATATACACGCAAAACCAAAAACCTTTGTTGTGGATTAGATTATTTATTGAAAGTTACGGTCATCAAGTTTTACGTCTGCCCCCGTATCATTGCCAGTTTAATGCCATCGAATATACATGGGGAATAACAAAACAATATTATGACAACCATATTGGTTATAGTGACGACGCAGTTCGGGAAACTTGGCGAAAAGCACTTTCAATTGCAACTCCAGAAGTGTGGCGGAACCGTATATCCAAGTGCGAGAAACTAATAGAAGATTGGTGGACTCGTAAAAATAAAATAAACGAAATAAGTCCAATCATAATAACAATTAATGGTGATGACAGTGATGATGATGGCAACGATTATAATATTTTGGATGATATTTAAAATATGTAAAAGTTGTACATTATTTTTCATTTCATTTAACCAGTTGATATTTCCCCAAAAAACAAGTCAAACTTTCGGGTACATACCTGGAAATCCTAATAAAATTTTTAATCCGAAACCCGCGTAAGTATAGCGAACAGACTGGAAAAGTGACTCTATAATGTCAAATGCCCTGTAATTGTTATTAATGACTGCCAGCCCTTTGTAGGTACATTGTTTTCATTGTTTTATTACTCATTTAATTCGTTCAGTCAAATTAAATTAAATAAGTATTAACTAAACTTAACTTTTTGATTCATCTTGTATAAAATATATAATTCAAAATAAAACCTGAATAAAAATGTAATTTTAAAATCAAAAAATTTTTTTTTCTATTAAAAATAATTCTAGTGGGTTTGTACGATTATGTGCAGAATTTGACAAAAAATCAAGATAGTTGATTTAGTAAACGTTTTTTTTTTTTGACAATTAAAAATAACTTTCCATTTATAAATATTCTGCTTGAAATAATAAACAATAATTGTACTTTTTTCTTGAAACATTTGCGTGCTTTATTAATATAATAACATCCTGTACATTTGATCTAAAATATTTATATGGTATTCTAATTTTTTTATCAAGCAGTATCTTTTGTAAAAAAATGGTTTTCCGTTGTAACCCAACCCAACAAACAATAACTTGCCGGGATATTGCTGGCCTTTTGCTGTAATTGAAGGGAAAATGAATGCGACGATTAAAAGGTAAAAGCCTACTTATGGCCTTTCGATAGTGGCCCAGCATTGTTGTTTGATGATGGCCTTATGAAGGGTAAGTAACTGTATTGGGTAAAAGCATGGTAAAAGTCAAAAGGCTTTTAACTGTCACAGACCCAACTCCAATGGTCCAGGAGGGCTCCGTCCCGCGTTCATAGATGGAGACACCGATGATTGCTTGTTATGTACTCAACGAGTGGACATGTACTATGAGGCCAGTCTCGCATTGCTGGTATTCACTATTCAGTGTTTATTGTAATTTTTTACTTACATATGTTAATTTAGAATATTTTATTAATAATTTTTTTGAAGAAGACATTTTTTCAGTATTATTATATTATATAGCTGAATTAAATAAAATGTCTACAATATTCTATATTGAAATACCTTCTGTTTTGGTATAGAATTTATAGTTCAAACGGTACTACTGGTCAAAGAGGCACTATCGAATATCCTGTCTGATCATGTGCCTGACACATGGCCTTTATTAATATGGTAAAAGGCCAGCAATTTCGTGTTAACTTCCTATCAATAGGCCATTAATTGCCAATATATTTATTTCTAGACATTAAAGGGGAAATGAAGGCCCAATAATTGTTTATGATGGCAAAGTGACTTCGGCCCGACTGTCGGCCGTAGTGACTTATATATGCCAGCCTTTTAATTAAAAAAGTCAAATGGCCATCTATGTAATTGGCCTTTTAATTCCCCTACACAAAATGTTTGTTGGGAACCATCAACTGCCGGGAATCTGATGGCCTATTGCTGCGATTGATGGGGAAATGACTATGTTGACTAAATGTTGAAAGGCCATTCATGGTTTGTGGGTCATTAACCATTAATTATGTTGGCCTTGCGCTGGGTAAGAGTCACTTGCTCATCTCATAGGTTTGTGATTTTTAAGCGCCCATATAATTTTAAATGATATCTACCAAAATCCAAATGGCTTTGACCAAGAGAAACAAAGAGGTGGAAATTAATCTATTAGTGTATTTTTCAACTGTTTATAACCTTTTCGAAATGCATTTTTTGTAAGTGGCCGTATGAAGACAAGATCAATCAATTATAAAAGAAGACAGATAAGAAGAATTTTAAGATATTTGTTTAATGTCATTTTGTTGGTAGTTGGCTTACTCAACTTCAATACATTCTTTCTTTAAAATGTTTTGATCATGGAGTTACCTTCTACCTTCATGGTTTTGATGGATTCTTAGAAAAATAGGAACTATGTAAGTATTAAAATAGTTCCCGTTTTGTAGTATGTAGTACAACTGATTACTACTTAACCCCACTTTTTATTGAGTACCAAAAAAGACAAAAAATTCATTTTATTACCTATATATTGCTTTATTTTTTTGGAATCAAGAAAAGAAAAATAATGTTTCAGTAGTTCAAATTCGTTATATCAGAATGTCACCAATATTAAATTATATAAATTTTATGATTTTCAGGTGTGTATTAATGCCAGTCAAGTGAAGAGTCTGCAGATGATTTTACAGTGAGTGAAGAAAAATTTTGTTAAAAGTTTTTGTCATTATTAAATACATGTACCTTATGTTAGAAAAACCCATCTTTATATGAATTTAAAATTTGTGGTAAAATGAAGGTCTAAATTAAGGAAAACTGTTTTAATTGCCAATGTTTCATTCATTTATTAAATTATAATCATTATAATCATCGTTTTCCTCAAACAAAACCTTCATTTTCCAATAAACTTAAATAATAAAAATAGCCAATACTGGGCCTGCAGTCAGCCATTGAAGACCCTTTAACAGTATGATGGAAAAGTGACTCTATAATGTCAAATGCCCTGTAATTGTTATTAATGACTGCCAGCCCTTTGTAGGTAAAAGTTAAAAGGTCATCATTATAATTAAAGACAGACACTTATTGGGGCCACTATTTCTTCAAACCAAAATGTTTGTTGTGAAAATTAATAATAACGATGTGAACTAATTCCGAAAAAAGTTACAATAATGTTTTCCGTACTATTAGATTAACTTCAGTAATATGCCCAGTTGATACACTCCCTATATTTACACTCCCTAAATTTATCGAAAAACTTTTTATCACTTTCCATTTTAATCTACGCCTTGTTCGAGTAACCTCGAATTAAACTTTTAATCATTGATGTACAACCACACACACACACTTCCAAAACGTATTCTTACCTGCTACGAGTTCCCTATAGGCGGTGAAATTTGCCTGGAAGGCGGTTTTCTTTCCTTTGGACTCCGAGAAAAATCTGACGAACATTCGGCTGCCCTTTGACATAACGGAGTCGGCGATCGAACCGCAAAATTCCTTGTCGTTCGAAGCCATGTCAGTTTTCCCGGAAAACACCTGCACGAAATTGCTGGTGCAGTCGTTAGGTTTTTCCAGGGAAAATTCGGCGAACTGGAGGTAAATCTGGAAATAATTAGACGCATAAGAATCTAATATATAACAGAACGAACAAAAATAGCTTAGAACTTATGGATAGACTCGATGGAAACTCATTCTATTAAAAAAAAATTTAAATGAATTAATTTTATATTAAAAATTTCACACCACCATTTTTAAGCCAATCAGAGTCTATTTTTTTGTTTGGTTAACATAGTAACCCAAAAAATTTCCGGAAATTTTCATCCTCCAGGGTACTCTGGACGAAATTAATAAGTGAAAATTTTTATGTCAAAATAATGACACTTGTAATGGGCTTGATTCATATAAGACTTTTTGTTTACTTTTTGTGCAAATCAAAATTAAACAATTACTACTTCTTTTGGTTTTTTTAAAATTTCTTTATTATTAATTACATCTATTAAATGTTTTTCAAAATCAATAATTAAAGAATCTTCTTTCTTCAGTGGTGAGTAAGAAAGGACACTCGTATTAACTGAATGTCTATGCTTAAGTAAATAAATATAATATTTTGAAACAATTCGATTAAACTTAACTTTACAAATCCGAGACACATTTAGTAAATTCTTCTGTATTGTACTAAATAGATTTTCCTCAGGATTTTGTAAACTGCACTCCAAACTACATTCATCAATGAGGTACGACAAATATTTTAAACTTATGTGATACACTTTGAGATCACAGAGTTGTTCACAATGTTTGCATAATGTATATTTTTAAACTTTTTCCATAGTATTTCGATATACCAAGATTTTTTAATAATGACGCAAAAACTTTAACCCTCCATTAGGCGCGTGGATTACATATGTAATCCACGCCTTTTTGAACAGTGGCCAATTAAAACGAGGCTTGTGGGTGGAATCGCCCACTTGAGTAGCTGTCGATAATATACCCAACTACCTCCTTAGTATAAAATAAAGAGGCAAAGAAAGCGCTTGTCTAAATTAGCGGCTGTCAAAGACGACTGGATTACTGTTGTACTCCACGCGCCTAATCACGTTACATTTTTTTCCTAGTGTGCGGTTTGAAATTTTCACTGTACGAACATGGAAACTCAATTTGATGGACCATACAAGATTAATAATTCTCCAGTTGAAATTGTTCTCCGATTGGTGCACCCTGTAGAAGGGACAAACCGTAACATAACTGCTGACAATTGGTTCACCAGTGTACCGCTTGTAAGAAAATTATTGGAGGAAAAGAATCTTACATATGTTGGCACTATGCGAAAAAATAAACGCGAAATACCCCTTGAGTTTTTGCCAAAAAAGGACAGAAGAAAATACTTCATTATTTGGCTTTCAGAAAAAGTACACCATGGTTACATATTGTCCAAAAAAAACAAAAGCGTTATACTTATTTTTTTCAATGCACATTCGATTGACCCAAATACAGACGACAAGAAATTGCCCGAAATAATAACCTGCTACAACAAGACAAAAATAGGCGTGGACTTAGTAGATCAGATGTTCGAAAAATACAATGTAGCGAGAACAACAAATCGATGGCCCATGGTAATATTTTACAACTTACTAAATATAAGTGGAATTAACGCTATCTGCGTTTATAAAGCTAACTACCCCGAAAACAAGTTTTAAGATCTGGTTTTATTGAAAAGTTTGCTTGGGATCTAATAAAGCCCCAAATTGAACACCGGTCAAATATTTCCAGTCTATCAAAAGCACTTCGGCGTCGAGCTCGGCACCTACTTGGATTCGAAGATATCTTACCTCCTCTCCCACCCGATATGTCAGCAAATTGCATTCGTCGTTGCTACATTTTCTCCAGAAATCGTAATAAATCGACAAGAAAAATTTGACAAAAATGTTTCAAGCATGCATGCAAAGACCACATGTTTTTTAGACTAAAAAATAGTCCACATTTGACTTGTATTTTTTCGTTCAGTTTTTTAAATATTTTTTTACTGTTCAGATTATGTAAGTATAAGTTTGTTCTTTAAAAAGAAAAAATATATAGTTTTGTTCTTTTCATTAAAATTTTTATGTTTGTAACAATTTTTAATGAACCTGCAATTAAACGCCTAAAAAACACGTGTATACATCTTTCAATTTTCCTATCATTAAATTAAGGTAAAATGTATGTGTAAATATATTTTATGCTAATAAACTAACATGAATATACTTATACAAAAAAATATATACATATTTTTTCAAATAAAACATAGCAGGAGTCAAATAAGTTGGATTACCATTGTACTCCACGCGCCTAACCGTGTGAGTTGAATCCGCGCGCCTAATGGAGGGTTAACCAAAAGTTATAGGTTATTATTCTGCACTGTCAGTGAGTTAAACTGTCACCAAAATAATTGTCTACAATTTTTCCAAAGCCACCTAAGCTGTTATTTGTTTCATGCAGGTATTTGGAAACTACAATTACAGCTTAGCATATTTTAGGTACACATTAATTAAAAGAAAACGTTCCACCTACTTTAGTGAACATAACTTAGGTTATAACTGTAAAATAAATTTGTTTTAAATAAGTTTTACAAATTTTATTAAACTAAAATCGGTGGAACATTAATATTTTCGAAACTTTATTTAGATATTTTATATCGGGACGGTGGTGTAGCGGTCTATCGCGCCTATATTCATTTATAGGCAAGCTTATGAGTCTGAGACTGCTGGGTTTCGAATCCCAGACCAGACCATGTGGATTTTTAATTAAATTGCATGGTTTTGTTTAGGATTTGATGTGTGGCGTATTAATAGAAATTCAATTTCTGTTGATATGACATGCAGATTAAAAAAAATCGCCATACATTACCGTCTCGATGATGGTGGGTGAGGTTTTCCGGGTTTTCCTCACCTGTAAGTCAAATGGCACCATCAATCATCTTTAAGTCGCCCCGGAGCGTCACGGCAAATAATAATAATAGCCGTCCCTTCCCCTACACAAGTCGTTCAGTCGACTTCAGGGGTTGAAATTCACTCGTAAGGGGGTGAATTAGGGAGATTATTATTATTATTATACCAATTATAACACTTGAATAATGAAAGAAAAACAGTGTTCCACCTATTTTAGTGAATATAACTTAGGTTATAACTGTAAAATACATTTATTTTAATAAATTTAACTAATTTTATTAAACTAAAATCGGAGGAACATTATTATTTTCACAATTTTATTTAGATACTTTGTAATTACAAATATTATATTGAATAATGGAAGAAAACAATGTTCCACCAATTTTAATGAACATAACTTAGGTTATAACTGTAAAATAAATTTGTTTGAAACAATTTTTACTAAATTTATTAAACTAAAATCGGTAGAACATTATTATTTTCACTATTTTAGTTAGATACTTTGTACCTGCAATTATAACACTTAAATTATAAAAATTTTTAATTTTTAGCTTATTCTATTTGTTATTATTGATAATATTGAAAATACAGTTATTATAATTATTTGTTGGGTGATTTCAAGATTCAGAAAACGTGTTGTCTTTAATTTCAACTGATTTGTGAAAAACGGTTGCCGAAGAGGTGTTAGGGAAGTTACTTCTCATGGACTCAATTATATTTTGTTGATGTTCAGAATCTAACTGGAGATATGGCTTAATTGATTGGCTGCTGCTATGTCCAGTTATTTTAATAAGTTGCTGCTCACTAACTCCTTTTTTAGCTAAGTTAGAAACAGCTGTCGCTCTGGCTGAATGATTTGTCCCTTTTTTTCTTTTTATGTCGATACCAATATTAGATGCTGCCGACTTAAACCAAATGGATATCGTATTCTTTCCTACCGGATAATTTTTGTACCATCCCTTAGAGTCAGGTTGATTCCAAGTAGAATTAAGGGTTAAAAATAATCTTTCAGTTTTTATGTTGTTACCCCTTTTTTCTAATAGCTTTTTGAATAAACGAACGGGACAAATTTCTAAGTTATAATTTTTTAGAACTCCCTTGAGCTGTTTTAGAAAGAACTATATTATATTCTATCCTTCCACTTAAATTACCCTCGTTAATAATTTCCTCTGTAAAATACTGGATACAAGCTGATGACCCTTCCCCTCCCCTCCAGGCTAGCTCAAGGGATGCGACATAAAAAAAATTTTCGTTGAAGACCATCTGGACAATCTTCATCGCAAGTTTCTATAATTTTGTTAAATTCGTCGTTAGATAATGCCAGCGAACTTGATTTTCTTTTTTCAGGGTCCCTCTGCAATTTTCTTCGCATTGTATCACGCGCTGCTCTGGCAGATGCAAATTCGGGATCGGTAAATGGGTCAAATTTAATATTATAATTATTAAAAAACATCTCTTTTAACTGTTTAGCTGTGCTATTCCACATTACTTTTACAACACCCTCCTTATAATCACATGAGCTTTTTTTCTTCATATTAAATGCATAGTCTTCAAATATTTGACTCAGTGCTTCAATCGAAACAGATGGACTGTTAATATCATAAGATTTCTCAGAACAAAACTGCAAAAATTGTCCCCACACACTTTCTTTACTCCTCTTTGTATTTTGTGGTACTAACTTTTTGACTTCTTTTCTAATATTCTCTTGATTTTCGTTTCCAAAACGCGACATTTTTACTCACTCGTTATAAATACTATACTGGACCTCTTAAACTGACAGCAAATTTTGACGAGGAATCATTTTTGACATATCAACAAACATTCATGACTAACTAGACCAAAACTAGTCTTCCCTTCTTCATGTCCTTAAATAATCTTAAAGTCAAATAAAAATTAATTACTTTTAAATTTTTTAGGTGTGAAATTTTCTTACCGAATCCCCCACGATCTTGAATTAATAACCGGAAACTTTTCCTCGTACACGATTTTATAAGAAAATCGTGTACTCGAAAAAAATTTCCGGTAATAATTCAAGCTCTAGGGAGATTGCTAGTGATAATAAATACTTACTCTCCAGCCAGGCTTTACGGTTATCGACCAAAGACAATCAATTGGCAAATCGTAGTCTATATAGAAATCCATGGTTTCATTATCGATGTCTGTTTTTCCAAATTCATGCTGATCTAATTGTTCATGCTCAAAGACACAGGGTCGGGCTTCGGGATTTTTTGCTAAAAAAAAAAATAAATAAACAAAATTACGGAATCATTTAGAACATTGTGCTTTCACACAGACATGAAAAATGTCTCAGCAGCATAAAAATGTATATTAATTATTTATATTATATTTTTATCGTATTGTTTAAATTTGAAGTAAACATTATTGGTATTTAAATGTTAATAACTATTGACTTTATAAGCTTTTTTCAGAATCCAAGTTACTTAAAATCTGATTAAAATCATTACACTTCCAGGATACAATTCTGGAGAGATTATTATATCTTAAAAATAGAAACATCATATATTTTAAAACGCTTTTGTAATTATAAATTTTAATATTATTAATTTATGCTTTATATACTTCCTTCCAATTATTATTATTATTATTATTATTATTATTATTATTATTATTATAATTTATTTATATTGGGGATTTATTGTATTTTGCAAAGCAATAGCCTTACTGTTTATAATTGATACTTCAATAAATACCTTTAATAAATAGTTTATATTTTCTTATTTTCATTTTACATTAAAAATAAAAAAGAAATCTTGAAGTAATTAGTACACCCTATTAAACATGGTGGATAAATCAATAATCCCTGTATAAAATAATATAAGAGGGGTCAAACTGATTGCATACATTTCAATACTGAGTTAGATGCATAAAGAGTCGATAGGCTCTGCCTTTAATGTTTGCTTTCTAGTAAAACCATGACATCACTAATGGTTTATTGCTATATTTTTGTTAATTTAAAAGCAACAAATATGAGAAAAGCACTTTTACCTTGTCAATACATAGGCGAAACTTTTATAAAGAATAGTTTTTTTTCATTTAGGCCTTCGTTTTTCGTCAAATGAGAGGTATATTTCTAAAAGAAGATTTTTTATACAAATTTGTAGACGGTTGAAACTGAGACATTTAAATTTTTTTTCGATCATAAGGGCTAATGTAAATGATTTTTTTAAAATAATTATAAAAAAATACTTCCTACAAAGACTTAATTGAGCATTAGAACAAAAAATAGGCATTTTTAACCAACTTAGATGTAATTTCATTAAATTAGATGTAATAATTTTCAACAAATTCCAAAACCTAGTGATGTTAGTTTGGAAGTGGCAACAGGGCTTACACTGGCAAGAAAAGTTACGTTAAGTAGTAAAAGCTCGGGCAGTTATTCATTGATAAAACTATGTAAAATTCTTCACTGTATCCCTTCTTTTACTTCTCACCTTTCGTCGCCTCGCCCCGCGTCTAGAAATAGAATGTTTTGAGTGCGAACTGTTCTTGGCACCATGAATATTATATTTTATGAATGACTTCTTATATCTCTGTTATCTCTGGTGTACTGCTTGCTATCTATCAGTAAGCAGTTTTAAGTTTTAACAAAATATCTTGGTTTGACACTACATGGAAATTAGGGAAATTACCGAAATAAAATTAATGGTTATCCGTTTTCCGATTTCCAGTTGCAATTTATTGTCTGTGGCTTTGTGTTTATTATGTTTTGATTAAAATGGACAGTAAGCAATAAGTAACTGTTAATAAAGTATTTTCTTGTAAGAGAATATAAGTGACTCAGAACCATTACTAAAAATATATTGATATAACGGTTCTACTATAAAAATTTTATAGTAAGTACACTTTTTCCCAATTCACATTTTCCAAAAAATAAATCAATACAATTTTAAAAATCGTCGATGCGACTCATTGTTCATTGTTTGTATTTTTCAACAGCCGTTAATCGCGCTCCTATATATGGGCAATTTTCTAGGGGGGGCGCAGACAAGCTTTAGGGGGGCTCAGCCCCCCTGACGCCCCCCTTTCTACGGGCCTGGGAATAGGTATGATAAATTAGACTAATTTAGGATAGGGTAGGATAGACATTAGAATAAGTTAGAATAATTGAGATTAGTTTAGAATAGTTTAGAATAGAAAAACCTAGTTTAGAGTAGTGTAAGTTTAGAACAATTTACAATAGGGTAGGCTAGGAAATAGGATAGGTTAGAATAGTTTAGAGTAGTGTAAACTAGGGTAATTTAGACTAGTCTAGGTTTAGATAGAATAAAACCCGTAACACATGTATTCAATTTATTACTTTTTTTTTGTAAACATTAGGGATAAGCTTTAAATTTACTTGCTTACTGACTCAGGTATGTTGGTTCTATATCCTCAGTACCTAGATGTGTTGGTTAGCGCATGAAAAACAGCATCAAATGAATTATGTTATTATAACCAAATAACCAGCCACATAAAATATTAATATAGCACATTTTTACAACGTCAAAAAAAAAAGATGGGTAGGGTAGATACCCTTAAATGTTATTCTTAATAATGTACGGTAATACGGCGAAAAATACGGTAATTTTGAATCGCCGATAAGGTAAATTGCATGAGAAGGGTTGGCAACACTGTACAGTGCGTGTTCCTCACTCGCGTATCGGGAACAACACTAATGATTTGTAATTGCTGTGATGGGAGGTGTTTGTGTGAATGCGTCTTGTCTAACCTAACTTTATTTCAGATGATGGAGTGGAAGACTTAAGTATTTTTCTGTAGTATTTGATAAACCTTAGAAGTAAATTTCACATACACGAACAAATAATAATAATGCCGTGACAACAAGAAGACGAAGGGTCGCCGCCAACAGAAAATTTCAATTCATACCTGGCTACGCCGACCGGCATAAACACCAGGGCAGACCGATGTACAAATAAAACGCGTACATCCGATGTACTGCTAATCACTGTCATTCATTTAACTTTTAACTAAACCTAAAAAAAGTCCACTCAAGCATATGAAATACCTAAAATCTTCTTTTAAAATAAATTACAGAAAATTGACAGATAAAAAAACTGCACTTTTATTTCGAAAACTGAATTTAATAAACTAAAAGTAGGAATCATGAAAGCATTTGTTTATTTTTTTGGTTAGGTTATAAAAATCATAGATGACATGCGCACTACAAATCATTAGTGTTGTCCCTGATACGCGAGTGTGTTCCTCATCATTGAAAAGAGTCCGCTTGCGTGAAGCGTCGGCTGTGCCTCAAGAGCAGTCAATCACGCAACGCCGCCGAGCGGAACCAATTTGTTTTTTAGTTGAAAATGGTTGGCAAAGAACCTCAATCAAGATTTTCTCCAGATGAACTGGTGATTAGTATTAAGTAACTTAAAGCAGCCTTCCAATTACTTTGTTTTAAAAAACTCACTTTGGCTACGTTTTTTTTTTAAGTAATTATTATAAATACTTCTTTTTCCCCTCGTAGCTCCATCTTGATAAAATCTAAAACTCTTTTCTCGTGATATTATTATTATTATTATTATTACTAGCCATTTTTATTATTTAAAACATTTTAATCCCAACTAATTTGAGCACACTGCGTAAATCGCTCTGCGTATACCGAAAGCGTTTTAAGCTAGCGTTTGACGCAGCTAAAAAAATGTAGCTTTAGTTTCAACTAAAAATAGATTCTCACGTAGGCTATAAAGAGTGGCTCCAATATTGTTTCCTGAGGTACGCCACATGAAACTATTTGATCAATGCTGGTGATATTTTGTATTTCACTTTTTTTGTTTTCTATTTGTTAAGTATGTTTTCATTAATTATTAGTCTGAATTAAAGAAGAGTGCAGTAAAAGTAAAGATATAACGTCACATTCCATAGGCGTGCCTTTGAAAAATAAGTTTCTATAATATAAATAAGGTCATGGCTTATAAAATGGTTTATGCGGAATTCGTAAATTACATTTTAAATGAAAACGAGTAAATACATTTTCGCAGTCGGATCAGTATATATCCCACCACGACATAACTTGAAAAAAGAAAATTACAGAGAACTTTTATAGGTATATAAAATTACCTAATTATATAAATTTCTTCTAGTGGTAAGATATTTAATTAATTTTGAAACTAGGTATATAGCTTTAAGTTATTGTAGATTGCTCTACTTATAATTTTATTTGTCTGGAGATGAAAGCGTTTGCAAGCTTTAATTAAAGATCCTGTGATTGAAAAACTTTGTGTTTTTCTGAATTCTTCTTAAAATATACCTATTAGTTTTATATTTAGTAAAAAGTATGGTTATAGAAAAAGTATAGTGTTCATTACGTGCAACAATGGTATTTCTTTTTGCACTTGTTGCACACTATACAATTTTAAAAAGTCTGAAATGAAATTTTAGCCTCCTATGTTACAAAAAAAAAATCGTGAAAAGACAATTTTTTACATCCGTTTTCAATTGACAATTTACGAAGGAATTCCCCAACGTAAAATAGGAAATAGATAGTTCAGGTAAACAAAGGAAACCGTCGCAAAACGGGTCATTGTCAAGAGTAAGCTTAGTGCCTTTATAACACTTTATGGCACCAATTTCTGGCGAACGATCGGCCGATTTTTTCCATCTGAAACAACCGATACGTCTGGCCCGGGCTGATTGATCCCTCTTTTTCCGCTTTCCCGCAGGTGTGCCGAATGGACGGTCGCGTTTTCCGTTTCTGTCGTTTGCTTTATGGCATCGATACGTCTTTGCAACAACTGCTGTAGTGCTCTATACCGACGGCGTTGTTCTGGTCAGCGATTATTAAAAATGATGAATGCTAGATTCGTAAACTGGACTGATGTATTGAAATGGTTCGGGAGATAAATATTACAGGGTTATGGTTAACGTCTAAATTACTTTAGAAAGCATCAATTGAACCATTGGGTGCAACGAGGGCGTTGCAAAATAAAGTGAGTTTTGAGGTAACTAAACTTGAAAGTTTTGAATTCTTAACATTTAATCTATTAATCTTTACCTTTTGCACTTTGGTTTATATATCAGGACCTTAATGTATTTACTAACTTTTATTTAAACATTTGGCCAACCATGTGGAGAGAACATAACTACGGTAATATTCTTATTTTAAATATTATTTTCTTACTATTTAGCAAATCTTCTAGTTTTTTCATAACAAAATGGTATATGAAAGAACAAACAGTGTTCGGGCCTTTTTTAGAATCATTTTCCAGAAAATAATAAAAGCTACTTGTTCCATCATTTTAACAGTCAACATTAAAGACAAAAAGGCACAACAATCTTTTGTAAAACTGAAGTTATATTTAGTTTAGGTATTGGCAAATTTTGAGCATAATCAAACTCTATACAAGTGTATCAGTGTCAGGATTATTCTGAACTGCCTGTATACAATCTTTTTTCAGTCCATTGTATGCTTCAACTTTTTTCAAATGCAACATGGATTGAATCTTACATGGATCTTCAGGGTTAGCTTGCAAAAGAATTTTAGACTTTGTACAATAATCACAAACATCTGTTCTAGGTTGTCTAAATGAATAAATGCTATTCTTCCGAAAATATCGTGACACTTTAATAAAAGCTATTTACTGTTTTATAATTATTAACCAACCAATTTTTTAAAAAAACATGATAATAGGTAGATACTCACATTCTTCGGGCCGTTCGATGAACTCGAAAACAGCTTTGAAACCGGAAAATTCAATATTTTCGTCCGATTTGAAGTGGACCCATAGAAAGCGGTCGCTGGAAGTCATCATGGGAGGGAAGGTTCTTCCGCAGAAGGGCTTGTGGAGTTGCGTGTTGAAACCATGGGCTCCATCGCGCACTTCTAGGTAGTCGTTCTTGCAATCTGGACTGCTTTCGATGTGAAACCAGTCCCGAAAATCGAGTTTGATGAGGTGGCCTGGAGGGGCTGCAACAAAAAAAAATCATCTTATTATTGATGAAAAAATAAAAGGTTCGTTATTATTTATTATTATGGTAAATATAATAAATACATAATAGAATTACATGATAGAAACCGCTGACCTGTCGAGAAGTTTCGAGAATTCCATTTAATTATTTTACTTTCAGCCTGATGTTAGCTTGCAATTAATAAAGTCATAAAAATATTGTACTTGTTGTTTAAATAAAAATATTTTTAACATCAAACAACCAAAATTCAATCGTATCCATAATGCCGTATTTACTCTATTTTACCTTGCGCATTTTCTACATAGTTTCTTTTCGGGCGAAACGGGATTTATGGTATATTAGAAGAGACGTAACGGAACGTTCGGTTCGGTGGCCGTTAACAACAAGAAGAGAAATTCATTATCTTCGAAAGCCGGAACGGCACTGCCATTCTTTCGGATTAACGAAAAGAAAATTGTATTGTTTCTTTTGCGATAATTACCCCCGACAAAGTGGAATTTTCCTCCGCGTACGTCGTTTCTTGCCAATGCAGTTAATGTCAGATTCTGAAAGGGGGATTTTAAGAGTGCAGAAAAAAGATACGGATGGACGGGAAATTGCGACTAGTTGCTCGGAAACTAGAAACAAAAATGTTTTCTACTACATATACACATACTACTACTACTCTTCAGATTTGAAGAGTTATTAGAAAACTAACATTCTCTATATGAAATGCTTTTATTTAATAAAAATCTTTATTTCATAAGCAATTACTAAAGAGCGAAATACAGAGTGGCCAAAAAGTCTGGAAACGGCCAATTAACTCGTAAATTGCTAGTCCTAATTGTACACAATTTGGGGTACACCTATTTTGGGATATGGAGATTCTAGATTTGATATTTGCAATGTTGCCAGATTTGCCGTTTCTCTTATATTATTAGTCACTTTGGTTTTTCAAATTCATTACTCTGTATATTCAGTCATTATTGGAATCTCCTATTTAATACGAGTTCAACCATATGAAACACTCATGATTTTATGTAGTCTGGAAGGTCTTAAATAAATAAAACAGAAGTCTGGCAACACCTAATTATCTCAATAACTTTTTAAATACAAACTATTTTCAACTACATTAAAACGTAACAATTGAAAGATTACAACATTTTTAACATAATGGTTACTTTATCAAGTATTCAAAATGTGCTCCATTTGTGACTTGACAGTATCTTAATCGATGGTAAATAATTGGCCGTTTCCAGACTTTTGGGCCACTCTGTATATAGAATAGGTGTGTTATAGTTAACTTTTTGACTATCTCGAAATCTAATATGTTAAAATTTTAAGCTATTGAAAATTTCAAGGAAACAAAGAGAAAATTGTTCGAGAGAGCTCGAGAGAACTCGAGAGAAACGAGAAATTCTCGTCGAAAGATGACACTCTCTCGTCTTGACTCGAATCTGTTTTCGAGAGAAAATGTCTCTCCTAGATCTCTCCCAGATCGTGAACCTATTGCACAATCTACGGTAAGCAAAATAGATCTAAAATACAGATAATTAGGACATGTGAGGGATGCAGCAAAGCAAGGTAGACCAAAAATTAATGAAAATATTCAACAAGACATCATTTTGTCAACAGTAGAAAATCCACACTGTACAGTGTGAGGATTATCAGTGATTTTAGTATTGGAAAGTCTTCAGTATAAAACATTTTTAAAAAGGTAAAATACCATCCTTATAAAGTACGTCTTATCCATGAATTGGCTGAAGACGACTTTGACCGAAGAACTAAATTCTGCGAGTATATGATGGACCAAAATAACAATTTTATTGATAACGTTTTATTTTTGGATGAGGCAACGTTTTATTTGAACGGTCATGTTAACCGGCAAAACACCCTTTACTGGTCTGATGAAAATCCACACTGAATGCAAGAGTACCATAATAGGCAAATACCTCAAACGACCAACGTGTTGATATTGCGAGAAATACAATTATTGGTCCATATTTTTTTGATGAAAATTTAACAGGAGCATTATATCTGGATTTCCTACAAAATACATAAATTCCTAATCTGATCCAGCTTTTTCCTGATATTCAAATACCCATTAATTTAAACTGCAGAATCTGGTTTCAACAGGATAGCGCACCGTCACATTTCGCAGTAACTGTGCGCGATTTTTTAAACAGAACTTTTCCACGACGGTGGATAGGAAGAAAGGGACCAGTGGAATGGCCCGCTAGATCACCTGATTTGAGCCCATTAGACTTTTTTATGGGGGTTATTTAAAATCTAAAGTCTACCCAAACAGACCTGGAAATATCCGTCAACTACAAAACCGAATTAGACAAGAAATACAGAACATAACACCAGCAATGCTACAGAATGTTAGAGACGAAATAATGGAGAACAATTTGAATATTTATTGTAAATTTTCGTTTGTTTTTGGTAGTGTATCATAGTAATTGCGTAACTACGCAATTCCTTTTAATTTGTTTATTACATTCCATAAACAATTTTCATAATTTTTTTTTGTATTTTTGACCACAACGTGTTATACATTTTCGGAATCGGCTTAACAAGGAAAATCCGGAAATTAAAAAAAGGGGGTTCGAATTTTTTTAATATTAAATATTTCGTTGAAAATGTTGTTTGGAGGTGATACCGTTAATGTTAAAGTTAAGTATCAAAATGATTCTGTTGTTTTCAGAACACCTATAATTATTTTAACGAATAAAGCTTTTTTACCGAATTATACAGCCTTCAAACATAGAGTTATAACGTATCAGTGGACTACTTGTGATTTTTAAAAAGATTGTAGTAAAAAATTGTATCCATTAATGTTATATTCATTGTTAAAACATTTTGAAATTTTGTAATGGTGTTGGGAAAATTGTAATGGTGGTGGGAAAGGTAATAAAAAACTTATAATAAACTGTATTTATTTATTTTGTCTTTAATTTCCATATGTCTCAAAACCTAAAGGATCTAATTGTTCAAAACGTAATTGATCTCTTCCTGGAAAAGCAACAAATTCCGTATTTTCTCCATGAGCTGATAGTTCGTATGGGAAAACTGAGTCACAATCATATTCCAGAACCATTTCGGCCTCGACCGCAAAGTATGCTGCTGTATTTTGAAAATCTGTAGAATCCTTAGAGGGATTCAATGCTGGTGTTGGTAAAACTCCAAAATAAATATTAGGAACACACATTTTAGGACCTTTAGGAGCAGAACAATGTGGTGCAAAGACTTTGCTGCCATCAACACTAAATTTTAATAAATCACCAGTATTACCACTTTCAAAATTATTCACTGCAGGTTTTACTTTACACACTCCATTTTTTGTTAAAGCTGTAGTAATTTGGGCAGGCATTTTATCAATAATATTTTGGGTATAACAAACATCTGATTCATCTCGACAATACGGAATATCATGATCTTTACATGATATAAATCCATATGCCGGAGTATACTCCCAATTAATAATGGTTTCTCCAAAGTTGAAACGATGCATATAACGATCCAATTGATAAACTCCTTCATTATGTCCTATGTAATGTGGAAGAGAACGATTAGAATTATTTCTTAAGCAAGCGTACATAAAAAAAAAAAATCTTTATTCCAGTAAGACCATTGCTACACGGTATTGGAAAAGTCAGTTTTACAAAGTGTTTTACAAAGAATGTATATAATTTAGGCCAGTAAACATAAAAAAAAATATATATATAAAATAAACAGAGCATATATCACCTAACAAATAAAAATAAATAATATTACACAGACCGAGTGGAGCCATACTTATTTAGTTAAAATTGTAGTACTCATCTACATTATAAAAACAATTCTCTAACAAGAATTCCTTAAGTTTTTTCTTAAAAGAATTAAAAATTTGTTCATCTTTTATTGACTGGGGCAATTTATTATATAATTGTATGCCAGCATATGACGGACATTTTTGATAGAACGCTGTTCTATGATTCGGAATTCGTAACAAATTACCATGCCTGGTTTGGTAGTTATGATTATCTAAATGTAAATAGAAGGCAGTGTTAAAATATTAAGTTGTTGGAAATATGATTTGCATGATATTCTTCTATTAAGACCAAGAATTAATCTCAAAACTCTTTTTTGTAAAATGAAAAGCCTATTAGAGGATGATGAATTTCCCCACACAATTATATTATATGACAAATGAGAGTATATCATTGCGTAATATATATTTATAAGTTGTTGTTTGCCTAAAATATTTTTTAGTTGAAATAAAACATAATACCCACTATTAACCTTTTTACTAATATAATCAATGCACGATTGAAATGATAAGGTGCTGTCAAGAAAAGTTCCCAGAAATTTTGTAGACTCGGACATTGTCATATTTAGTTTATCTGTTGTCACTGTTATTACATTCTCAATGTTATTAGTAATGTTAAATTTCATCAGTACCGTTTTCTTAGAATTTAATATTAGGTGATTTTGTAGACACCACTCATTGAATTTGTTATAGAGGAAATTCAATTTGTTTGAAAGTTCCTCTAGAGAATTCGCACAAGAAGCCACTGACACATCATCTGCATATAGAACAATGCAATCTGCGTTTAAGTATGTTGGTAAATCATTTATAAATATAAGAAATATCAATGGTCCCAATACGGATCCCTGAGGAACCCCCATATCTACATTACCTTCATTTGAACAAGTTTCATTCACTTTGACAATAATTTTTCTGTCTTAAATATGACATTAGCCAACTTAACACATTTCCCCGAAAACCTAAAGATTGAAGTTTAGTTTCCACAAAATCCAAATTTAAGCAATCAAAAGCTTGTGTAAGATCAAAGAAAAGTGCTCCAATAACTTTTTTGCTATCAAGGCGTTTGTATAAAAATTCAACAAAATCATATATAGCGCTCTCCGTTGATCTACCAGGGTAAAAACCATTTTGGCATTTAGTTATGATCTTATACTTTTCTAAGTAAGAAATCATCCTATTATACATAGCGTTTTCGACTATTTTACTTA